GGTAGGGTATGAAGAAAGGCAGGGAGGGAGTAAGGAAAGACGGGAAGAAGAAGAGGAGGAGATAAGAAGACCTAGCGAATGGAGCAGAAGAAGAAGAAGAAGAAGAGAGGTGAGGAGGGGAAGAAGAAGAAGATCAAGAAAGGTCGAGGAGAAAGATGAAAATGCGAGGGGGAGGAGGGTAAGAAGAAGAAGACGAGAGGACGACGAGAAGAGAAGGAGGAGGAGAAGAAGAAGCTAAGCGGAGAAGGAGGGGGAGGAACACGACCTTTTTCTTTTTTTTTTTCACCTGTCGCGTCTCACGTGACCTACCGAATGTTGACGAACTAGAAGATGAAGAAGAAGAAGGGGAAGGAGAAGAAGAAGGAGAAGAAGAAGGAGAAGAAGAAGAAGAAGAGGAGGAGGAGAAAGAAAACGAGCGGGGGAGAAGGGGAAAACGAAGAAGAAGAAGAAAGGTTGAGGAAGATGAAAATGCGAGGGGGACGAGGGGAAGATGAAGAAGAGGAGAGGAGGAGGAGGAGAGAAGAAGAAGAAGAAGAAGAAGAAGAAGAAGAAGAAGAAGAAGAAGAAGAAGAAGAAGAAGAAGAAGAAGAGCCGAGAAAGGGGGCGGGGGTAGGTGGACGGCTTGTCGTATCTCACGTAACCTACCAAATGATCAAGAAGAAGAAGAAGAAGAAGAAGAAGAAGAAGAAGAAGAAGAAGAAGAAGAAGTCCGTCGGGGCCTTCGTAGTTACCTGCAACAATTACCCTAGCAGCAGGGCCTTCGTCTGCCCGTCCAACACAACCCTAAACGATTACGACAGGAAAAAGAAGAAGAAGAACGGCGCCTTCATCGTCGGGGCCTTCGTTGTAGCAGCAGCAGCAGGACAGTCGCCGGGGCCTTCGTTGTAGCAGCAGCAGCAGGACAGTCGGGGCCTTCGTCGTAGTGGCAGCAGCAGGACAGTCGGGGCCTTCGTCGTAGCAGCAGCAGCAGCTGGACAGTCGGGGCCTTTGTCGTAGCAGTTGCAGTAGGACTCTCAATGGCGATGGTGACGGGCGACGGGCGATGGCGCAGCAGGACGGCGCAGGAGCAACTCCGATCGTGCTGGGGGGCGAGTGGCAGACCACCCCATCCGATCCCAGGTTTGAACAAGGGGATGTTTGGCACCTAGATCCACCAGCTCTGTGGCCGTTGATCATGGTTGATCGACAACCACAGAGCCGTCACAAATTTTCAAAGATCCCGCAGGCCTACCGGGCCCGACGGGACGGTTTTTCAGGTCGGTCGGACCCGGTAGGCCTGCGGGAGTCCAACAATAGCGAAAAGGGGGCCCAAGACCCCCAGACAGGTGAGTGCACTGGGGGGGGCCGGCCCCCAACCGGGTGCCCTGCCCGGCCAGGCCGCCCAGGACCTCCCCCGGGCCCCCGCCCGTCAGCCGGGCGGCCCGAATCCCCACCCAAAAAAAAAAAAAAGCAAAAAAAAAAAGGTTGCTGATCCCTGGACAAGTGACAATGCCACGAATCTCGTCGTCGATACACAACAAGAGTAGTAGTGGTGTTGCAAACAGAACATGAACTTGTCCCTAGCAACGAATGTGGAACAATGGGAACAATGGAAACTGAAGAGTTTGTTCGCAAGCGAGACCGCGGAGGAGATGGGGGTGGTGAAGAGGAACGCAGCTCTGCGGCCAAGCACAGAAAGAGATGAGAGGGGGGTGGATTGGGCAAGATTTCGAAGTAAAGGATGTGAGTGAGATTGTAACTATGATGTTCTCTGCACTAGAGCTGCGGGACTGGAAGTTGTAGTAGTAAAAACTACACTAGGGGGAATTACAGTTATGGAAACTGTTATACTGAAAACTGCAGCAGTAGAAACCGCGGCAGTATAAACCGCAGCAGCAGAAACTGCAGCAGTAGAAACTGTAGCAGTGGAAACTGCAGCAATGGAAACCGCAACAATGGACACTGCAACAGTGGAAACCGCAACAGTGGACACTGCAGCAGTGGAAACTGCAAGAGTGGAGACTGCAGCAGTGGAAACTGCGATAGCAACAGATGAGCAAGCAGGGGCAAAACGAGAGGGTCGTGGGGCAAAGAAGAAATTGGATAATGCAAGGACCATCATAGCATGCGTCGTAACCACTGAGACAGACGAATCACATGCATAGGATACCGATATTGGCGGGAGCGCACGTAGCCGGTCCACCCCTTACCAAGGGTTGTTGGGGAACGCCCACGTGAAAGCATGCGACGAGTAAATGTTGTTGCCGCAGTTCGAAAGCCCTACCAATTGTTACAAATTTGTTCAAATCTGGTCAATTGCCCAGTGAACACACCAGCCGGGTGATGGGAAGGGATGCTGGAGGTCGCACTTGGATAACGAATGACAGCGAATTCCCAAGCAGCCGCTTTATTAAAGACGCTCATGCGAAGCGAGCCACTGGAACGGACCCGTAGATGCATACCTAAAAAGGTACGGAAGCCATCTATTGTTGTAGTTTCCTTCCACGTAAGCCCATAGTGCTCTGGTGGAGGAGGTAATTGTCCCCATGAAAGAACATCATCAATGAGGCGATAGGTGAAGACATATTGTTGAGCGACTTGAAGATCATGTTGACGAATGTCATCAACAAAGCGTGCTTCATCCCAATACAGCGTCATATTAGAATTTTTTTGGCCAGCATTCGTTTTCATTGGAATACAGATAATTTGTTTCCGAAGCGTGCCATCTCTAGTGCACAGAAAAGTGTTTTGTACAACAAAGCGAAAATGTTGGAGAATCTGAGAAAAAAAGGATATCTAGGCCTGAATCAATCATCCCTTGGCCACAACAAGGTCCTCAAATAACCATGTTGATATATATTGTCAAACAGATATACATATATATATATACATATACTGATATATATATATATATATATATCGTCACAAACAGAACTGCCCAATAAAACCGTAGGCATATATATATCGTCACAAACAGAAGTACCCGGTAAACCGCAGGTATATTGTCATAGAACTATTGACTAAGAGCGTAAGCACGTGAAGTAGAAGAAGAAATAAGATGAGCGAAGAAAAGAAAAATGAAAGGACAGACAAGCAAAGAGACAGATAAACCAGAATGACACAAAACAGTGTCCTCTTATTCTTTGTTTCACAATATTATTATTTCTTCCAGTGTTTTACAAAAAAAAATTACACTGAATCAAAGGATAAAAATCAAAAACAAAGACACATTGAAATCATTCAGTTTCTCAGTCTTCTTAACGCCTCCTCCACTATGCCTCTAACGTACAAGGCTCGCCACGTTGATGAAGTTGAGCGTGAGCTGCCCCCATCCCC